TATAAATCCTTTCATTTCCTACCATCCAATCAGAGCTGAAGAAGCTTCTTCGATCAGAAGCCAAACATCTTCAAAGAAAAACAAGAAAGTCCTGTTGCTTCTTGAAAAAGCACCTTTGGGACAACCATGACATGGATGACTGAGAATCTCCACAGACATCTACATAAAATACATTAAAAATAATAGATAAATGTAGGCAAGAGTTTACATTTTTATGAATTATTAAAGTACATGTTTGTATTTTAACAAAGCTGACAAATACAATAGTTGAGTTCACAAAGGAGTGGTGCAAAAATTTACACCACAATTATTATATTTTAAATATGAGGCAGATAAAAATAATCGTTGTCTCAATACAACAATTTTAACAAGTTTTAAATCTACAGTACTTCAATGTAACACTATTTTCAAGCGTAAGCATATACAGATCTAACAAATGTATTTTGATTTTAAAAAAGAACACCAGTGTAAAAAAACTATAATAGCTTCTGTCACTACAGCCAAACTAATATTGGAAAACAACAGAGTTTCACAACTCATCACTTTGCCTGGGTCTATTTAAAGAAGCTCCTGAAACATAGTAGACGAAAAGTATCCAGAGGTCTTTGCATTATTCAAGCAAGATGAGTGTAAGTATGATTTGCACATACATTCAAGTTTATGCAGATTGTGTATGTCTTGGAGCAGAATATATGTATTTTCTACAATGTATTTTCTAACCTTAAATAATAATAGCTATTTACATACTCTGAAGAAATATTGCTAGCTGGTACAATGTATCTTTTTACATTCTGATTCTGCAGACAGTCTATGTTTCCTGAGCCCATCTTTGCATGTAGTTAAGCAAACTCCAGTGAAATATTAATAAAGTGATGAGTAGAGAGCAGGTGAGGAGTCAATGAGAAATTAATAACATGCCAAATTATATTCAGGCATCCTGAAAAAGATCTCCCATCTATATTTACATACATTTAATTCATAATATAGTTTTACATCATTTGGGCATAGTGTGATAATTGTTGCAGCCTATCGTGTGTAAATGATGCTATAATAATTTGTCTAAACAGTTAAAAATACTGAATATCAAAAGCAATAATAACTTCTTGCTTAAGAAAGATAAAAATTAATGCTACAGTTTTAGGATTTGATAATCAGATTTGTTATGATTATAGAAATATTGGATGTATTGGATATTCTATTTTGGATACTTTTAAGGTTTGTATTTAAATTTAAAATGTTACTTTGTTATATAATTTTAGTGTTTCCTGGATTGTTTAGTATGTACATTGTTTATATGTTGTTTTTGATTTAATTTAGAGTTAGATATTTTATTATTCTCTCCTTGCTTGATTATTTTCTTGTAGGCATTTCATTACCCACAAGGAAACATCTTCAGTGTGATAACACTAGTAATATCTGATGTGACATCTGAAACTAATGCATTTTGGTCTGGCCAACTGAAAGTATCTCTGCATTGAGTTTCTTGAAGTAAAAGGGCAGAAATAAACAGCAGGTCTAGCCAAATATATGTATTTCTGAGTCATGCTGATTTCAGTGGAAGATGAAAGACAAGTTCTTGCTTAACTCCTCCCCTTGGGTCAATAAGATTGAAGTATCACTTTTCAGATGTTTCATAATCATATTCCTAGAGCTTATAATTCTAATACAATTTCACTGCTTTATGACAATATATGAAAAACAATATTGTGTTTTTAATAAAAGTAAGTTTTTTATAGAATTGTTAGAGAAACTTGAAAACTGTTAAGTAGTAAAATAGGTCTTAACACAATTTCTGTATTTATAGTGGCTACAAATGATTGAAGATGTGAGCTTCAGGAAACTAATAAATAATTCAGAGTGCCCAGAAAAACTTAAATACGACTTTAACAAAAATGGTAAGCCTAAGCATGTAGATACTAATGTTTTTAATTATCAGAATTCATATAATCACAAACCAAATTCTTGGACAGTTAATAACTCAGTATGTTTTTGAGCTCCTTAAAAAAGTTTGTAGTCTGCAGAAGATTTACATCCCAACATGCATGGCAGACAGTAAAATTTGTAGTTTCTTTTTCATGAGTAAGAATGCATTGACAAATAGGTCAACTTTACTTGTCCTTCATGATCAGAGGACATTTTGTGCAGGCCAGTGGGCACAGAGATTCAACATGGATCTCAAATACCTTTCATTACAACAGCTCTAAAGTGCTCTTGGGGAGTGATTGTTTTAAATCCTTATGACAATTTTGTAGATTTGAAAGTAGAACCAGAATATTTAAGCCTTTTAGAGAATGATGCTATTTGCCCTCTAAATTTATTATGGGCAGTCCCAAAAAGAAACAGTAGTAACCACAAAGAACATACAACCTGTTTGGGATCACTTCATTTCAAAGACTTCATCTACAAATGTGGCCTTTATTGCCCATGGCTATGAGGGATTGATTTTTATCAACTTACTCATGCAAAGAACTTTGGAAGTAATGAATAAAGTGTATGCTGTTGCACTTATTGACTCTAAGCATTATATGAAGCATCAGACACAAGGCAATTCCGAGGAACAAACATGGATTTGGAAGCACTGTCAAGAGTGGGTATTAAATAGTAAGCCTATAGATAAGTCAGTAGGCTACCTTGTGAAAATGGATTGTCCTATAGTCTCCACCAGATCTGAAAAGTACAATATGGCTCCATCCTCTAGCCTGCAGTCCATCTTCAAGTATCTAAAGAATGCACTGAAAGGTACTAAAGACAATTTCAGTTGATCACCTGTTGCAACAAGGAGCAAAAATTCCATGAAAAAAATGTTTTCATTTTTTAACATTAAGAAATGTTTTTCATAGTTTCCTCTGTCAGAAAAAAAATTGTATTTGATGCAAATGCCTAGGCACATTCTTAAGGTAAATTATTTTATTTAATATATTATTTCTTTTTTTTCCCTTTGGCTAAAGCTGATATTATGTAGGGTGCAATTTTGAATTCCATGGTCAGGCTTTATTTTAGTTGTTGAAAGGATATTTCATACAAATTTGTAATTTAGTGAGTTTTTTTCTTTCAATGTCTTACAAATAAATTCTTTGACAAAACTTTTTTAAAACTGTCATTTAATCTGAACCATTAGTAAAACAATGAAAATGTAAATAGGATAAACATATTAGAAATAGGTTTAAAATCTTGTTTGAAATATTAGTCAATTATTTCTACTTCACATTAGCATAATTCTGAATGTTTTAACCTTGGAGTACATTTATAGTATATATTCAAATATGCAAAGAAATGGTGAACATTTCACAAAAATTACTGTTTAAAATTGTATTTATTTGAGAGTGTCACATCATATTAGATCAATCTACAGCTAATAATAAGACTAATTTTTTAAAAAGTTGTACTTTTAAAAATACCTTTTCTCTAGTTTATTATCTACATTTTCAGTTCCACTTTACTTGAATACTGTTCTTTTTAAATGGTTCAGGTTGATTTAAATTACAATTTCAGTCATGAACTAACATTAAAATAAAGTAACAGATTAAAATAAACATAAATCTCATATTAAAATTTCAACTTTCCAAAAAGCATGAAAATCCAGATTGAAAAGATAGGACCTTAAGGCGTTTTTGCAGGACGGTAAAAAATGTAGACTGAATATCAACAGAAAATGCATTCTACAACCTAGAGATGACAGAATAGAAAAAATCCCAAATCATCACCAGGTGACTGATACATTGAAAAATGGACTATCTGGTAATCTTAGAAGTGAGAATCATGCATATACTCAGACAACTTGAATCTAGATGATTTATGATTACTGATAACAATCAGCATGTTATATGTCCTCTAGGAACTGGCAGACAGTATAGCCAATTCCCAGAGTAACAGACAAAATGCTACCCTCCAAATAATTCTTGAACAATCTTCTGCTGCATTTTGAACATGCAGAAGTTTCTAACCTAATTACTATAAAGCAGGGGTGTCAAACTCATCTTGTCACAGCGTCACATGATGTATCGGAAATCCCCCCCCTTCGCTAAACCGGGCATGGACATGGCCAGTGCGTGACGCATCTGGCCCACAGGCTGGAAGTTTGACAGCCCTGCTATTAAGCAATCCAATATAGAATACATTGAACTAGTGTAGTCTGAAAGTTACCACATAATACACTACAATGTGATTTTATTTTTTAAGGAACAGATGGAGCTGCTCTTTTGGTTGATGAAAAGCACTATTGGTCCAAGCTTTAACCTGAGAAAACAGGATGTGACCAGGACCTAGGAGGGTTCTCAAACTATTATTTTTTTCTGAAGAATATAGCTCAGTCCTCTAGAATCTAGATCATGATCCTTCATAATAAACACCTCCACTTTGTCTGATTTTAATTTCACTTTATTATCCTGCATCAAGCTTACTTTATTATCCTCTATGGATATACATTTCAAAAAATATTGCTCCTTCTTGTGACTGAAATAGAGAAAAAGGTTTGGGTACCACCAACTCTTCTTCAATGTCTAGCACCAAACTTTAGAACTAACAGTCTGTTAGTCTTACAGAAATGACTGATAAATCATCTATTAGACTAAGGCTGTCTTCAAATTAGTTTGAAATATATCTAGATAATCTTTCTTGAAATTGGTTAGCCACAACTTCTTTATACCTTTTCCCAAATACAGGAGGCTAATCTACAATTTAAGAGATATACAGTAGATTTATTAAGGTCTAAAACAAGGCATTCTGTCCTTTCTCAATTGAGTATTATGTTAGCTAAGCCACAGTGAACACATTGGGCAAGAATCTAAATAGGCAGTGAACTGTACCATTCCAAGCAGCTTTCCCATATCCCCCCAAACCACAAATTTATCCAATATTAAACTTACAAATTACGGACAATACATTACTGTAACTGACTCTAGAATTTGAGTTTTCACAACTGCAAAGGCTTTTTGCAAAGATCCCATTAAAAATATCACAGTAAGTCATAGTTTCTTAGAGCAAATTTGAAACAGCTGTAACTACCTGGGAAAATTTTGTTGGATAGAAGCTGGGTGTGCCTAAAGCACAGAATAAAAATGCATATTTGTTGTACATATAGTTGCAGCATAGTACCAGATTGCTGTACCTTAGTAGTTTATGAATCATCTTCTGTGTTCTAATTATCTACCTTATCTGTATACTATAAACTAATTTTGAAGAGAACTAGAGAGCTGTTCAGGAGTGATTCTGTCTTTCACTCTGAAGAGTTCCCTACTCCAAGGGTGATTAACAAAATCACCTTCATAAGCAACTGTAAAACACAAAAACTCTAATGGCCACCACCCTTGTGCTTTGAGCAAAAGATCAGACCCAGCATGAAAACAGCAATGTGACTCAGCACTGGAATAAATAGGATAGCATTATATTCGTTTTGGCAGCTATGAATTCCTGGAATGCATCAAATAGCACCAGAAATGTATTGTGGGATTTGGCACCAAGATTTGAATCTACATGAAATATCTTGGACAGATAACTTGTTGCTTAAGGGTATAGTTTCACCAATATAATATCCAGTTATACAGATTTGCCACAGGCTCAGTGGAAGATACTGTAAAGTTCCCATGTTGGTGCCTGAAAGCTGTCAAGGAAAAACACACTCAAACTTCATTCTGTATTACAGAATGGTTGTTATATCATAATCCTTCTGATTCCAGGATTCTATCATCCTTGACTCTTTACTGGGTTGTGCTCTCTGTAATGCAAATTTGAAACCTGGGATCTTTTTGAACAATCAGCTTCTACACATAAGAGTGACCAGGAGGGCCTTTGTCTGATAAACCAGTTGCAACTTATCTGGAATATAATACTTGTACTGGTTGGAGTCCATTTCCCAGTGAACTGGTCAGCAGCTTTAAAGCCCTATGTGCCTTGAGTATTTAAGACACTTGTCTTTTCCAAATATACTCTGTGTTATTTAGATGACCAGTCTACAAAGAATCCTGACCAGGGGTTTCAATCGTTGTGGCAGAAGGGTGGCCTTATATCATGTATTCTCAACCTCAGCTCTCCACTTATGGAATAGTTTGTCTACTGAGCTGAATATGTTCCTTCTTCTGGCAACCTTGGAGGATAGTAACAGCATGGTTTTTAAGGTAGCTTTTGGGGATTGATTCTAGAGCTATAGGTTTCTATAGTATATGTCTATGTATAAAAGATCTGTGCACTTTTTCTTACTGATATTTTAAAATGGAATTGCACAAATAGATAAACTAGAGACTCCATAATCAGTCATACTATTTTATGAAATCTATTACTCAGAGGACCATACACAAATAAAATTCTTACCTTATCCTGGAGTTCTGAAGAAAAGGAAAGAGGAATAAAAATCTATTCTCTCCAGGCATCCTGGTAAAAATAACCTATTTTTAGGAACCATAGCTATAATCTGTTCTCCCAATATTCTGGAACCCACTTCACAATAGAAAGAGAAGATAGAGTTCATCTATTCCCCTAGCCAGGTTTCAATTTTATACACCATAATCAAATCATATTTTTATTTTTTTCTCTAAAATGACCTGCACCTAACAGAAAAGATTAAATTATCCATTTAAAATTCTTATCTTATCTTGCCATCAGTTCCATTCCTCACAACTAGAATCACTGCTCCTACTTTATGGAACAATTCTGCTATTCCTCCCTCAACCATCCTATAATAAGTCTGTTTAAAACCATGAAAACAGGCATTAAACAGCTCCCCCCAAAGAACTCAGGTAGTAAGTTTAGAGGCGGACAGGAGGCAGGCTATCTACTGGTAGCTGCATCCATGGCATTATTTTATCTTTAAAAGTCAAAGATTTTATCACTACATCTCTCACATGGGCTCCAAATTCTGGCTGATAGAATGGTTTTAGAGCTAAAGCTTAACAGGACAGGCAGGATAAAGGCAAAAATATTTACAGCATTTTTTCTCACTATCTCTAGGTCAAAAAGGAAAGGGAAAACAAACTCTTAAATGATTTCTATGGCTAGGTTCATGCATGCTAAGTCATTATTTAATTGTAACTTATTTCATGTTAAGCTACAAAATGATTTATTTGGTTTTGCCTTTCTATCTTGTGTGAAAAAGTTTCTATTTTTGTTTATAGTCCAAGGCATTTATTTACTTGTTTGCTTTAGAGCAGATTCCTTTATTTAATAATTTAAGAGTAAGATGTAGGCTATAAGCTAATAACTAAAAGTCAGCAATTGTTGACATACATAACTTTAAGGAAAATAATGACAGAAAATCTGTCTGTTTTGATGTTGACCAATATGATCGTGCAAAGATTAAGAATACTTTTTGCTGGCTTAGTTGGGACACATGTTCAAATAAGCCATGGCATAATCAGTTTTAGGATGTGCCCATTCCAACTTTCATTTATTTCCAGAAAGGGCATTTAAATGTCCTTGTAGAGAAGTTCATACTTGGGAATATTTTTCGGATCAATTGGGCTTCGTACAATGAGTTTTCCACGCATCGCTCCACGATAGATCACTTCAATCAAATCTATGAAGTCTTGTTTTGTTTTGAAACTTCCCACAAATTTGGTATGATCTGGAGATCTGTTTAGGAAAAATAATAATATAAAGCCAATTTTAAACAATGTTAAAGTTGAAATTCAAATATACAAGTAGTTCAAAATCTGAATCTACCAAGCTCCTCATTTTCACAAATATATTTAGCATTTTATATAACCTTGCAAGTCAAAAGTTTATCCAGTCTAGTGTATTTCTCAAGAATAATCATAAATGGGTAATGAAACTTATAGCTTCAGGACCTATGACCAGGGGTTTCAATTTAGACATTATGGCTAACAATCAATGACAAATTAATACCTATTTCTGATATAAAGCTGATTTACAAGATGTGCTTCACAATATAAAATTAACCACAACTGTATTTTATGATAGAACTATTTAGATACAGATTCATTATGTTTGGTAATATGTTTCATCATTTGTAATAGGACTCCATTTTCAAAAATCCAACTTGGGAATCTAAAATCCATGAAGTCTTCAGGATTAACTTTTGTGGATTGATATCATTCATCAATATAATAAACATTATGTGAATGTTTGAATTAATGCACTCTCTTATGCCATAGTTTGCTGAATACAATTGCATGCAAAAGTTTAGACTCCTCTGGTTGAACTGTATGTTTCTAACTAAACCGAAGCTATCACAATCACTATATGATACAGGTTAAAAATATTAAATTTTGGCAACTCTTAATGAACTTCATTTAGCCATTTCACCAACTTCCCATCTCCATACACCTTGTGATATAAATCATGCCAACCCTTCTCTGTAACATTCAACTCATTCCTTGCACATTCTGCATACAAATCCTACCTATCCAAATTAATAGGGAAAAGTATGTCAGAAAATACTTCCTGGTTTCCTGCATTTTTGTTTGATTTTGCCTTGGCATATTCTGTGACCTAATTAAATCACAGTCATTCAAGCCAAAATCAAACTATGCAAAATAAACAGGCTTTGCAAAATAAACAGACTAAGTCACAGAATAATAAAATTAATACCAACAAGCATTGATCACACATAGGCTACATGCGAACCAACTTACCCATAATCCACTTTTATGTGTTGCCCATTGAAAAAGAAGACAGTTGATGGAATATAACTAATATCAAAATACTGGGTGTACACTGGAACCTTGCTCACGTCCACTAAATAAATTGCAGCCATTTTACTCAAATCATGAGATGTTTTTGCAAGCTGTCAAGAAACCAAATTTATGTGATATACTGGATACGTGAAGGAGTTAAAGCTTTTAATAATAGCAATAAAACAATAATTTAAACCTCAATATACTGATATCCTTCGTGATTGAAAAGACATAAAAGTTGGATTATAATTACATGTACTTTTCAAAATACTAGCAATAATTGTAGCTTGGATAGCAAGGATAACAAGAATACTATTAAACAATCCGTCCATTTAAATTATTAAGAGAGGCCTTGCTGCAGATTCTGCTAGCATCAGATGTATGTCTGATAAAAAATATAGGTGACAGTTTTGTTCACTATGAAATATGCCAGTTTAGGAAATCTATCTGACCTCCTTTGGCACCAAATGAAAATACAGGTTCGGGGTGCTTGATGCTCTCCGACCTTGGTTATTTTCTTGCAGACGTTTCATTTCCCAAAGTAGGTAAAATCATGAGTGCCAATCTAGTCGTGTTTAGTTAATGAAAAATTATGCAAGATAACAACTGAGCTACAAATATTCTCGTTTAGTTTAGGATCAGCAGACGATTTGCGACGTACGCCGCGTAGATTCGGGGACTGCAAATAAATAAAAAACAAACGCCGGCTTACAATGTTATCCAACTGCAGGCAGACATTATCTTCATCTCTACCAAAGCGAAGAACCAGGACTTTCTCTGCCACAATCTTAATCGCTTCATCCACTTCCTTTTTGCTGTTTAACTGAGGCAGCAAGAAACTCATGCCGACTGACAAGACAGGATAGAGCCTCGCGATAGCAAACACGCACGCGCGTAAACTTGTTTTTGCTGGAGGAGGGGGGAGAGGAAATTTTCAACGAGGCCCAGTGAATGACAAGGACCTTCTCCAATCAATGGCAACTACCGCTACAGAGCTTGTTTTCGCTGACGGAACCATCCGACAGAGTCTTAGTTCTAGGGTTTCCGACGGGAAATGTTTAGGGACGGACCCATTCCGGCCAGGCATGCTTAGATGTGCGTGTTGGTAAGTATGCGAGATAGTAACAAAGTAAGATTGTTCATTAAAACAACGTGAAGCCTCATGAATTCAGTCCATTTCATCACCTAAGAAAATGGACTCTCTCCTATAATAGATTTGGTTTTGCAAAATCAATATTCTTCAATAGATGGTATTCATTTTAAATATGGGAAGGAGGTGGTGGCTGTTGTAATGTTGCCGCGTTTGTCCGTGGATGAAATAGAAAAAGAAGAATGAATGAAGAAACGCGTTGTATTATTTCCGATGCTAATTAGGCATACTTACAGTGAAAGTTGTGTTTGTCTATCAGAAGGAAGTTCCACTGAAATCAATGTGATTTTTTCTTATGTCACCCAGCTAGCCAGTCTTAGCTGATCTCGGAAAACTATAGCAGTGAAGCTTTAGCATTTAGATTAGAAATCACCAGAAATATCTGCGTGGTAGATTAGACTAAGAAAATAGTGAAAACACAGAGGAAAGAGGTAGCAAATAGATATTATTGCCAAGAGAATTGTGTGCTGGTGTAGTCACCAATAGTTGGTGAGTCTTTAACAAATGGTCCCACTGAAAATAATTGGTTTACTGTAATAGACCTTCTGGGAGGTGGCCATTTTTCAGTACTAAATAATGTGTGGATTTCATGTATGTATAGGAGTATATATATTACAATTCTAATATTAAAATCAGATTTTTCTACACATAGCTAAAAAAATATTAAAACTCTTTGGACATGCTTCACAGTAAGGAGAAAAGTAATAAGAAGCTCATTGTCTGTTTTTCATAATGTTTTGTCCATGGTTTCATTAGCTTCCCTGTTTTGGGAAGGGATAAGGATAAGCCTTTTTTCTGTATGTGACCTCATCTTTTTTTTAATAATACTTTTATTAAACATTACAATTAAAAATACTACTAAAAATGAAAAGTGCAGAAAGAAGGAAAAGATAGAAAACATCTTGCTTACTTTTCAGTCAATTTCAGACAGAAACAACATTTTTGCCCTTATTCTGGATTGACTCGGATTGGGGGAAGGCTGCATGATGTTGTGCTGCTTTGGCTTCTTTCTCCAGGATTGGTTTCAATTGGGGATTGGGGAAGGGATTCCACTACTGGCCCCTACAGCTCATCTATTGCCATAGAATGTGATATCATCCTTATGCTGATGATACCCAATTATACACTGTATATCTTTCCCTTAGCAAAATAAATGCCTAGATTAAGATGTGAGAGTCTGAGATATTAATGCTTTAACTGAAATCAAGCAGGAACTAGTTTTACGTTTCTTAAAGCTGTTTGTCTTCTCTAGAACTTCAGAGGTGTGTTACTATACAAATATATCAAGTGATCAAATATTTAAAAAATAAAAGTTAATATAATTTTGTAAAATACATTTTTCCGTACCTGTATCTCTGTGTACCTCCATTCATTCTTCATTCACTTTACTTTTTTATTTCTCCTGACATTCTCAGCTTATACTGCCATACAGAAAAGTTGCCTGAAGCATATATTAACATAGTTTATTTCAATATTAATTTCTTGCAACAAACCTATATATTAAACAACTCATGCGGCCATCCCATAAGCAAACTCCATATCTTAAGATACATATAGATCAAAACTACTGTTTCCATAGTTTTGCAGTAGTCATTCTTATATTTCCTTTTTTATTGACAGTTTCTTTTACTTTCATTCTAAGCATCTTTTTAATATGGTACTACTTTTTCATGTAACTCCATATCCTTCTGTCCATACCCTTCTTTAACATAGTTCTTTTGCCTTTGTTTCTAACAGCTTCCATATAATTTTCCTTGCATGTACTTAAACTTGCTATACTATTTCTTACTCTCTTTGGCATCGTTTATGTCTGTCTTTTCCCTTAAATAGATAGATAACAAGAAATTCCAGTATTCCATGACTCCTGAATATAAACAGGCTTGACTACTGTCTATTTTGCATTACTGCCTTGCTCAGTAGGAACCTGAACTTCTAAAAAATATGATTGAAATCACAAAAAGGCTACTTTTTTCAGTTTAAAATGTCTTCTATCTCTCTCTGATCTTAGTACTTTTATTTTCAGCACTTATGTGTCACTTCACTATTTTGCAATCTATTCGGAATCATAAGAATTGGGTAGAATAAAAATGTAATAAATAAAATCGGTTGGTGTTACTGATGGTTATAATTATGGTGAAAAACAATTTCAGGTTTGTTTTTCTAAACTAGCTTTTCTTTTCTGTATATGTGTGACTGCAGGTATCTATTGGACATCACAACTCTCAATTTTGATCTTTTTCAACATGCATTTATTGAATTTGATTAGACCTTCCTTCAAATTGATTGCACCGAAAATAACAAAATATGGGTTATTTTTAACAATGCCCAGCAAAATCAGTACTTGTGGAACATTGAGGATGATTTATTTGAACAAAAATATTTCAAAAAATGCTGATAACATAGATCTAGATGAATGGAAATTGGTTGTGCTTTCTGGCTTGGAAAAAGAAGCATTTGAAAAAGCATCGCCTGAGGAAGAGCCTAATATAGCAGCTATTAAGGAATACATTGACATGTCTAGGCGTTTAGGTAAAGCTGCTCCAGAAAATATTACTGAAGAACAGTTAAAGAGGTTGATTGAATATCCTTCTGTTTCTTCAAGAAATAGATATTTGGCCTTTCTGGCTTCAAAAGAAATGAGAAAGAATGCCGAAAAAGAAAAAAAGAAAAAACAACAGGAAGAAAGGGATGCACTTAGGAAAACAATAGACAATGAAGAGCTAATACCAAAAAGTAGATTGTTTCGGGCCATCTGGGAGTCCTCAATGGATGTTGTCTACAATTGGAAAGCTGCTCAGGCTATGAGTTTTGGTCAGCCTCTGGTATTTGACATGGATTTCAACGATATGTCAGAGAGAGAGATGCAGAATACAGTGAATCAAATGATGGAATGTGAAGGAGCCAATCGTAAAGCTGTAGAACCATTCCATTTATATTACTGTAATTTGAAAGAAGATGGTCCATACCACAAAGAATTCCTCAAGCGTTATGGAGATACATGGGACAATTTGTTTGTGACAGTGACAGAAAAGTCTTATGTTGAATTATTTCCAAGAGATCAGATTGTCTACTTAACTGCTGATTCTCCCAATGTAATGGAAACATTTGACCATAATAAAATCTATATAATTGGATGCCTAGTTGATAAGTCAATAAGGAAGGGAGTCTCTCTTGCTCGTGCAAAGCGCTTGAACTTGGCAACAGCACAACTTCCTCTAGAAAGATACTTTCATTGGAAAACTGGAGCCAAAGTTCTTACTTTGGATCAAATGATAATGATCTTAATAACTCTGAAAAATACTGGAAATTGGAAGGAAGCTTTAGAGTTTGTTCCAAAAAGAAAGCACCAAGGTTTTTTAGATCCATCTTTGCAACATTTTATTCATAGGCAAAAGAATAGAAAAATCTCTCAGCAAAACTTCAAAAAAAAGCTATTGGTAGAGGAGCTCTCCAAGAAACGTTTGTGGAATGGATTGTGGGAAGAGTAGTGTGTAAAACACTACTAACTATGACTGGTATAAATTTCATGTAAAATAACATTTGTCCTCCGAAAGCTTTCAACTTCTACAAACTAAAGAATCCAATAATGCTAAAACATATAGTTTTACCACAGGAAAACTTATTTACAAATATATAGGAAGCATCACTTCTGACTGCTGAGAAAGATTCTGTAATAAACAATAGGGCTGAAAAACAGGTTAAAGACAATAACTAATTGTTAATGCGTGTCTGTCACTAACCCCAATGTAGTATGGTATATGCTTTTTCTCTGCTTCCCATTGCATTGCCTCATACAACAAAGTTATGTAAACATAGTTTCCTAATTTTGATACAGGGGAATTTGTAGTTACTGTGAATTTTGCTAAACAACAAGGAGTTCAAATTATTGTAAATGTTCTGATTGTATGCAGGAATTAATACTATATGAGGAATGTAACTATTAAAAAAAGTGAATTGTGTGTTTTATCTTTTTATTTTACAGGAAAAAAGTTGAATAATACTCAATTGTTTCAATTGCCAAGATATTATTTAAAAAGTTGTATTTGTTAAATATAAAGGGCTACTTACTAAAACATGTTTTAAATATTTTTGATCTAATTATTTTATAATTTTATATACCTTGTCTTTTGATCAAATGATCTAAAAGGAAAAGGTGATTTGCCACAGTTTTAAACACATCAAATATACAGTGCAAAAATGTTAACAATGTTTAATATATAGTAAGATTGTGAATATTCCATCCAAGCTTCCCATCTGCAAAAGTTAAGCTTCCTTTGATGTTTCTGTATTGACCAGATAAAAAGGGTCTGTGCAAAAGAGAGAAATGCAAAACATTCAACGAGTGGACCATTCTCCACCACGCTGCTTGGAGAGTCCAGCACTGGATATGACTCCACCCTCTGATGTCATCGAGCTGAGTCTGCCACTATAAAAAGCCAGCCTCTGCTGAGAGCCCCAGCTTTTTGACTCAGCTCTTTGACATTAAGAGCTAGTGTCTCTGGAAGTCTTTACGGCTTGGTTACAGCAATGTTCTACTAATCATCGATCAAAAACATTAAAAAGAGAAAATATACCATCAGCACAGCTCTCGGGGCTCCCTGAATCTGCAGGGAGAGCAGGGGGTCTGCGCTCCTGCGCCGATCAGCTGTCCCAGCAAGGCGCTGACAAATCATAAGTGCAGCCTGGGAAGGAGCCGTGAAGCCTCCCACAGCATTTCCTTGGGGCGAGCTCATTTAAGAGCATTTGGACTGGAAGACCTACACGGTTTTCTGTGGCACGTGTCTTCCGGCAGGCTAATTTTCAGCCCTCAGGCTACAAGTAAAACGGCTGGCCTCCCACACAGCCCCCCAGCAGAGCTAGTCCCAATGTCGATCATGCCTCCCAGCTGGTGTTTGGGGCCTAGCGCAAGGCCTTCCCCTGTTCGGATGCAGTGTTACACCTCAGCTAATTAGCCAAAGACAGTAAAATACTCCTTAGAGCGAGGTACCAGGACTTTAGGCCGCCTAACCAGGTTTCCTCAGAAAACCTCGAGCCTTGTGGCTGGCAGCCATTTTGGGATCGAGTTCTTTTGGGTGCCATTTTATTGAGGCCTCAAAGCAGGGATCTGATCTGTCTGGCCCACATCTCGGAAGATACCCCTTGTGAGGAGCTGACAGCACCTCCAGTGTTCTTCCTAGAGAAATGGAGAGTGACTGGGCCCAACCTGGAACATCAAACATGGAGGCCACTCTAGGCTCTGAGGTATCAAGAAGGCCTCTCAAGAGTCCTTTCAGCCAATAGGGAGGCAGCAACGAAGATCAGGGCCAAAGCCTTGGCCCCTAGAAAACTTCAAAATCAGAACTTAGAGCTGAAAGGAGGAGGCATGCTGCACTAGAAAAACAGTTTGCCAAAAACTCCCAACAATTAAAGGAACAGGGCCTTTCTCAGGGGAGCCTCAGGCCTATACAGATCAGGTCCCCATATTAGGTGCATCAGAAGGTAGTTTAGCAAGTCATCTTCAGGCATGGTCCCCAGAGAGGCCTGATGAGGCCTCTGTGATGACCCAAAGTGTAACACAAACGTAACGAAGTCCAAAACGTAAATAAATGTCCTTTAATGCCTCCAACTTGGCTCCACTGTTCAATAATTCTCAGTTGGAGATAAAATATATTCAAAAATAGTCTTCAAAAGAAAGCAAAACAGTCTGAACTTAATGAGCAGATGGGTGAAATAAAAAACTAAAATAAACTACAATGAAGCAATTTCCACAACAGACCAGGATAAGTAATTACCAACTTCAAGGAGATAACAAGGTACGGTCTGTTGGAAGGACGCCAACCAAGATAACCAGCCCAAAATAACACACACTTTGCTTCTGGCAACGCTGTGTTTTAACCATCTCTTTTATATACTATTTTCCCCAGCTGCAACCAATGAGGGGGATCATGGCCACTTCCTCTCTCATAAGCAAAATTGTTTCCTTCTCTGCTCCTCCCTGCATGTCCTATGATGAAGAGGGGGTGGATGTGGTTCTTCCTCTGACTGCCCAGTCGGCCTCTGCCTTTCCCCAGCCTCCTCCACAACCTCTGGAGCCACACCTCCACTCCCTGTCAGCTGTTCCTCCTGTCCCTCAGAGTCTCACTCTAACAAGGGCATGACATCTCCCTTCCCCAAGACCTGATCAGGTCTGGGCCTTGCTTCAGGCCAGTTAATTGGGATACTGGTATTTACAATCCTCAGGGATTTTTGCCCCAAGGGGGACATAGGCCCAGGGCAGAGACCTCCTTCACCCCCACCATGGCTGGGTTTCGCCGAGGGAAAAACCCCTATGCAGAGGGAGATCTCTAAGCCCCCCGATTTTCCTCTATCCCTTACTGGGGAGAGCAGGAGAACAGTTTCCTTATATCCCGCTGAACACAGCAGATCCTCTATGTCAGAGAAGGAGGAAGGGAAGCTCAGGGATTCCAATCTCTCTGATGAGGCGGAGCCTAGGCCAGAGCAGCCCACCGCTGCGGCTGTCTTCACACCTTTACTATTCAGGCCCTTACTCCATAAGGCTTTAGGTCCTGCGCAACTGAGTCCTGAGGAGGTGGCACCAGAATCACAGCTGGACCTCATGGTCCAAGGGGACTCATTATTTTCTAAACCTGCGGTCCAAAATGAGGTGTTCCCCTCCCCATTATTATTCTTGGACTTGGTGCTGCTCCTCTGTCTGAGCCTCACCCCTCATCCCAGGATAAGAGATATTTTAATGTGGGACCCTCTCTAGCCGATAATCTAACAGTACCAACAGTAGATGCTCCAGTGATAGCTACCTTTGCATCATCTGGAACCCCAATGGAACCAGAGGATGTCTTGAGGCCTAATGACAAAAGATCAGAGCAAACTCTGAAATGCACAAATCAGGCTGCAGCTTGGGCAGTGAAAGCTTCCACTGCGGCCTCGTTCTTCACGATGTCAGCAATACGTTGGTCACACCAATTCCAAAATCAGTTGCCAAGCAACAATGCCAGGTCCCACCAAGTCATAAATAATAGCCGCAGCAGAGTTCACGGCTGAGACCACACTAAGCTCCTCCAGATTTGCGTCTAAAGCAATGGCTTCCTCTGTGGCTGTGAGGCACGTTCTCTGGATGCACAACTGGCAGATTGACTCCTGGTGCAAGTGGAAGCTGGCAGCTGCTCCATGCTCCGGAGAAACCCTGTTCAGAATGGCCTTGGAACCGTACCTGGTGGAGACCAGGGATAAAAGAAAGGTGCTGTCGTCTACAAATAAAAGATCAGAATTCCAGCAGATGCCATACTCCAGGCCTCCCACCTTCCATCCTGAAGTCAACCCTCAGTTCCCTCAGGCCCAGAGACACACTAGGAACAACACCCGGACCAGGCAAGCAGACCACAACAGTTCTCTGGTAAGCAGCCCTTTCGAGGGGGAGGAGGTCATTCATTCTGACGTTCTAAGTAACTGCATCCACTCCCCTCCCATCAGAAGTTGTCTGACCTTTTTTGCGTCAAGATGGGAGGAGTCAATAATGCCTGGGTTCTCAGGACTGTATCATCTGGCCTTCACCTCGAGTTTCTCTCCCTTCCTTCAAGGTTTTTTGTTTGCTGTCCAATTTCACGGAACAGGTCCAGATGGGCTCTTATGGATCGGCCATCCAACATCTGATGGACATTAGAGCCATCGAGACGGTTCCTGTGGATCAGCGGAGGTTGGGATTCTATTCCCGCTGCTTTGTAATTCCAAAGACCTTGGGCGGGTGGAGAGCAATCCTTGATCTCAAGTCCCTGAACAGATTCATTCTCTACAGGTGCTTCAAGATGCAGATGTTACACTCTATATTACACTCAATATTTAGTGGCAGAGGCTTGCTTTACATTAGAATTCTTTGTTACTTTTTGCCTTCTTTTTTACTTCCCCTCTAGTTGGTTTTTTTTTTTTGATTTTTCAAACCAGGAACTAGAATATAAACTTTTTATTTTTGCCTTTTTGTTTCTTTTTATTAAGAGAAATACATAGACTATTTTTTTCTCTTTTTTACTTTTATTTTTCCTTCTCCTATCCTCTTTTTCTTTAAAAGAAAAATCCTTTTTATCCCCTTTTCCATATTTTCTCTTGCTTTTTTTATTTTTTATTTTGTATATACTATTGCAACTAATTGGATTAAGGTATACAAATGCCTGAAGATTTTTCTCCCTTTTTCTTTTTGGAGTGGCAACTGTTTGCCTTCGTTCTTTTTTTTTTTCTCCTTTTTCCTTTTTCCTCTTTTCTCTCTCTTTCTTCACAGATAAGCATTACAAGATGAGTAGAAAGATAACAGCCCCAGCTTCCTCGATACCAGCTCCTCACCATCTGGAGGACAACGATCTATACAGGATGTTACAACAGGAGAAAGAGAAAGAGAAGGAAGTGACATTGCAGATGATCATACAAGGAATCCAGAAGATTGAGCAAAAAATTGAAAAGACAGATGAGAAAGTGGAAAATATTCAACAGCTGATGATGAAATATGAAGACAGATTTAAAAAAACGAAGAAGAAGATATACAAAGAGATAAAAAAATTGGAGATATTGATACTTGATTGAGCGATGTTGAGAAAGGCAGGAGTGAACCATTGGGATGGGAAATCGATAGATCAGAATTTTATTTGAGATTTCAAAATGTGGAAGAAGGAAAAGGTGAAAATCTTGCTGAAATAATGACAGAAATACTGGCAGAACCATTAGAGATAACCAAAGAGAAGATGATGGATGGGATGGATGAAGTGTTCCATGTCTATACAAGATATGCAGTGAGAAACAAGTTACCAAGAGAAGTACATATTAGATTTACCAAGAAGATAATCAAAACACAGATACTACAGGTGGCAAGAGATAAGACATTAAAGTATAAAGATAAAGAAATTGTGGTGCTGAAACAAGTACCAAGAAGAGTAAGAGAGATGAGAAGAGAATATACATTTTTGACTAAAGAGTTACTTAAAAGAGGAATAAACTATAGATGGTTGATGCCAGAAGGCCTCTTGTTCACTTGGCAGGAACAAAGACACAGAATTGATACAGTTGGAAAAGCGGAGTTAT